GCATTGGGTTAAACCAGCGGTCAGGCTCAAAACACATCTCAAGGCCTGTATGCTCACATTAGATCATGCACTGAATGATCCACGACCCAAAACAACCCCCTGTACATGTTTTGCCACTGACATCCATCATTGTGAAAAGCAGAGTGATTTAGTGTTGTCATGACGCTCGAGCACTAACTAACACTATCCCTAACAAACACAATGGGTTTCCAGCATCTGAATGTGTCTCTGACCTCCAGAAAGGTTTTGTCGTTCTGCAGTTTCTCGATGGCGTCGGTGTATTTGTGGTTGAGGGCGTCGATGACGGCCTGATGCTGCTCAGACTCTTTCTCCAGCTGATCTAGCCGTGCTCTCAGCTGAGCCTCCTGTCGACGGTACTGCTCATCCGCTTCATAAAACTACAGACAGAACAACACAACATTATCATAACACACACCTCAGCCAACAGCTGAACTCTCGCCGGTGAGATGTGAAACGCCCCATTCTGATAACCTGCTTTTACATGGGCTAGTACTGTATGAATATCTGCATGGATGTTCTTTGTAATATTGTGTATATGGAGAAAAAGAGAGGACCAAGCACCGAACCCTGAGGTTCACCACTACTTAACTTATGTGATTTCTCTACCTCTTGTCCAGCAGGGTGCAGGTGCCTAATCTGGAGCTATTCTATACCTGCTGTCCTTGAATGAAATGAATCAAACGGAATTTGACATGAAACAAACTGTTCATTCTCATTAGTTAATTTGTATACGGGTCATCAGATCTACAGTTCCACCCGTTCTAAATCAGACAGAGATAAAGCAAGAGCGAGATTGTGTGTGCAAAGCTGTGAGTTTAATTACTTCAAAACAGTGATGTTGAGTATGTTTCTGTGTGTGCAACTGACTGTATGTGTGATATGTATTTTGTACAATAATATCTGAATTGTAATTTTAATGCTGTATGAGCTGACATTATTGAGCTACGAGAGTCCATGCATTCCCCGTGTGATGAAGCTCATCAGAATGTCAAAGAAACGTTCAAACACAGCGGTGTAGAGTGATGAACACCTGGATGTGAAGCCGCTCATTCTCCTGGATCTTCTTCTGCAGGTCTTCATCAAACACGCTCTGTGTCTGCAGGCTGACCTGAGACGGCGAGTCGGCTTTATTCTGCACACACACACACAAACCAACAATCACGGATGATGCACATCATACGTCCTCGCTCTCTCACGTGTCTGAGAGTAACAGAGCATTTCATTTGGTCCCTGTGATTTCTAAAACTTCTCCTAATCCTGTGGCTGGACAGAAGAGCTCCTGATCTGCTCATTTATGTCTCATCAGCTCTGACAGAACTGTGTGTGTGTGTCTCATGACTGTGTGTATGTTTGAGTACGGCAGACCAAAAACATCAGCTAACCTGTGAGGACCAGCCAACGGTCACCGAGAGGAAATATGAAATATGTTTTAATATGTGCAGAGGGGTTTTTGTGAGGTTTAGGAGATGGAACATGTCATGTATGGAACAGTCAGCATGTGTGTGTATGATCACTTTGCTCTTCTTGCTCTTGCTCTCAGACAGCAGCAGCTCCTCCTGCAGCAGCTCCACTCGTTTGGTCAGCTGCTGGTTCCTGAAGCTCAGGCTG